CTCTGTGTAGTAGAATATTGGATTTTTACTTTCTGAAATTTTCTAAATTAAAACATATATATTTTTAATTAAAAAAAAACACTAAACAAAGAAGAGGCAGCCATTTCAACTTTTGGTATGTTATTAATTCCAGCATTCTCTTTATCATAAATCTTGAAGCCTTTAATTTATTTCAAATATTTTACTTTTCCAAATCTAGTTAATATTTGAAATGATTCTTCCTTTTTATGGAATGGAAATTTTCCCCTTCCCTTCAGTTTCACTGCTTCTGCTCTGTTGCTTAGATCCACAGGAAGATTTTCAAAATAAATCTGTAAAATCATGTTCATGTATATCTATAGCCTTTGTTTTCTCGTTTGAGAGCATATGGTGAGAGTCATCTCATCCAGTGACAAATGTCCTCCCACAACATCCACTACTTTGACCCTTAATTAGATCTTCTCAATCTAAAATAACTCATGTCTGAGACTCTCCCTGTCTGTATAGGTCCCAAAGGATTGGAGTAGCAACAGGAAAGCAAGAAAGTTCCTTACTGCAGTGGAGGATACATGTAGCCAATAGGTGAGCAAATGGGAGTTGAATAAGGTTGAGAAAGGAAGGAAGGAAAGGAAGGAAGGAAGAAAAAGAAGGAAAGAAAAGGAAGGAAGGAGAGAGAAAGAAAGAGAGAAAGAGGCAGAAAGAGAAGAGAAGAGAAGAGAAGGAAGGAAGGAAGGAAGGGAAAGGGAGGGGAAGGGAGGGGAAGGGAGGGGAAGGGAGGGGAAGGGAGGGGAAGGGAGGGGAAGGGAGTGGAGGGGAGGTGAAGGGGAAGGGGAAGGGGAGGACAAGCACAGAAACACAGAGAAAAGGACACAATTAGGTCATTAATGAAAAGTGAAAGCTGAGCAAAGCATCAGAATGCACAGGTGAAATACCATGTTGAGGAAATGATCAAGAGCACTCAGTTCAACAATTTTTGTTATTTGGATACATAGATAAAGCATATTGCCTGGGTATTGTTTTTCAACGCTCTTAAAGCAAACAAAAGAACATTAAAACAAATAAAGTAAACATGGAGATGAGAGAGAGGGAGAGAATATCAGATGATCTCCCATAATTTTATAAGACGAATAAATGATTAAAATCGGAGCCGGGAAGGAAGAGGAAGCATGGCTCCTGAAGGGGAGTTACAGAATGCACACATAGAATCGATTATTGTGTTCACTGTGTTGCTACATTCACGTAGTAGGGATTTTAGAGTGGGATGTAGAAAATGGTCTGACTGGACTGGAGATGATAAAGGGTGTTGAGAAAGCTAGAGAAGTTGGGAAGTACACGTTTGATTCAGATAGAAGAAAATAAAGACAATTACACAATGCAGAGTGGAGGAAACTCACAAATTTGGAAGAAACAAAAGCACAGGTAGCATGTCTAGTAGAGTGAGAGGTCAAAGCCGAAGTCTAATCCTATGGGAAACAATCTGAGGTGCAGTGTTGAGCTCTTCAATGGAGGATCTTTTGTGTGTGAGGCCTGGGCTCAACTAGGGTCCTGATATCCAGATTGCCTTTGACCGCCAGTGAGATACTGACTGGTCCCCATGTGCCACATGGCCAATAGATTTCACCCAGTCAAGTGGATGCTCTAGCAGATTTGGCTGACCAAGTCAGATTGGGCCCCAGAGACAGATCTAGGAAGAAAGAATGGAATTCATAACAATTTCAACTAAGGGAAAGATCCCAGAGGCATTAGGCAAATGTGCCCAAGTACATTACAGCCACACAGAGTGGCAGAGTCCAGCCAAGAACAAGAGACAAGACTGTATTTGGCACTTAGGCAAGAACGTTTCTGAGATAAACCAGGGCTTCCTTGAACAGATAGTGAAAAGCATGTCACATGCCACACCTTGAGGAGTGTAGAAGGGTCAACCTATTCAAATTATCTTTCCCTTTAGCCCTCCTTAGTTCCAAAAATCTTCTTAGAGATTTTGGTGCCAAAATTCCTTACCATACCAAGACACTAATTCGTATACATATTAGTGGATAAATAAAATACTGTCTCTGGTGCTCCTACAAAAATAAAATATAGTACATGTAAAGATTGCATTCACCTCTTATAACTATCTTTAGGCTTTAGATTAGAATATGCTTATTCAGAGGGTGTTGCCAAAGGAGGCAAGCCAGAACCAGGGCTGCCGAATTTGAGTTAATACTCTACTAACTACTGGCCCTGAATCCCTAGTGGTACTGTACCTAAAACTGGGGTTGCTTATGCTGTTACTGTAACTTTGGCTGTTGAGTTAGAGAATCCCGAAGAGTTAATTAAAGGCCACATACCATTTTCCTGAGCTTCCTGAGCCTATATCCAAATGATCAGAACTAAACTTCCAATTGGAAGAGGATATGATGAGATAATGAATATAAAAGCAAATAAAGTTCTATGATTCCAGTTCTAAAATTTTCAATGAACAGCTTTTTTTTTTCCCCCAATCCCAGCTACTGTTTAATTGGATGGGGGAATCGTTTTCATGTTTTTCATTTTATCCCCAAGTCATAGCTCAATTAACTTTCAAGCTTTTAAGGAAAGAAAATTGATTCTAATTATAGCCTGTAATCAGAAAGGTATCTGAGCTAAAGCATTTTGGAATATATTATACCGGTTACATATTACAAAGTTTACTCCTTTCTTTACCTTTTTCCTTTCAGAAAATAAAGCTCAAGAAGAAATCGTCAAATGTTGCAGGATACTTGTAAGCGCAGAGGACTATGAAGACCTGATAAAGAAGTTATCTTTAATGTTTGTCCAACAAGAGAACACATGGTTAGTGTGCTTGAATTCCAACAAAGGAAGGTATAGAATGAATCTTGGCTGTTCGCTTTTACTTGCTAACTATGTACTGAATGTATAAACCGTGCAGTATACATCTATAAAACAGCTGAAAAGAACGTTTTTAGTGAGTGTGAATCTATACAAATTTCCTCCAAAAACATGAAACTAGGATGTCTGCTGTGGAAGATAAAAGCTCTGAGTACATTTTAGAAAGAAGGAAGTCTCAGCAGTTGACAAAAGACTCTTTTAGTCCTAAAGACTGATATAAATATAAGAAGGGGCTGGGCACGGTGGCTCACACCTGAAATATCAGCAATTTGGGAGACTGAGGAGAGAATTGCTTGAGCCAGGAGTTCAAGACTAGCCAGGCCAATAGTGACACCCTGTCTCTACAAAAAAATAAAAAAAAATAAAAAAAAATAAGGCGTGATAGCGCATACCTGCAGTCCCTGCTACACAGGGTAAGAGTGACATTTAGGGAAAGAAAGGATGGGGACATTAACTAGAAGTCTCCAGTGACTGATTCCTTCCCACCTCACCTCCCACTAGGCTTTCTACACCAGTAATTGTGTACTAATCATAGCAAAGCCAGCACCACGCTGTTTCTCATGGCCATGCCTTTTACTAGAGTGTCTTTGGTGCTTGGAGAGCTCTGCTGCCACAATCTGTTTTCTGGCTTCTCTTCTTTTTCATGTACTTGTTTCTTCTGTCTTTTAAGGCTTATCTTAGATGTCCCCTCCTCTGCTTCTGCCCAGACCCAGTTGGGTCCCTCTCCCCTGGCATCCAATTGTTCTCTGTGGCTGCTAGCATTGCCCTTACTATCTTTCACTGAAAGCTAGAAATTTCATCCCTCCGCCAATTCTGTTTCAGAAATATCTCTTGATTCCATTCTCTGATCTACTCCCAGGGCATCTACTGTTTTGACTCAGGTAATTGTCATCTGCTGCTCACCTGGTTTCTTATAAAGCACCTTTCCCACTTTTCCAGCCTCTTTTCAGCAATTCAATAGTCAAAATACTGGCAGAATTTTCTTCCAAAAATACATGTCATTTTTCTGCTCAACACCCTTATTTTTCCTCATTTCCAAAATAATAGAAATCTAAACTTTTAACACAGAAAACAAAATTCATCGTAATCTAACTTTTGTATTCTCATTAGCCCACACTCCTGCCACTCTTAATCTATGTTCTAGGCACATTAAATGTCACCACGCTCAAGAAACCTGTGCTCCTTAACATGGGTGTGCCTTCCACAGAGCTAGTTCCTTTCCATAAAATGCCTTTCCCCAATTTAGTTCTTTCTAAAACTCTAATTCATCTCCTAAGACCCTGCACAAGCACTCTTCAATAAAAATTATCTTTGTCTCTGGTAAGCAGAGCTGTTTGCTAAATGTTCTGTGAGATCACAATATTTTGCTCATGTATCTAATTTAGTTTTGTTTTGTTTTGCTCTGTCACCCAGGCTGAAGTACAATGGTGCCATCTCAGCTCAGTGAAACCTCTGCCTCCTGGGTTCAAGAGATTCTTCTGCCTCAGCCTCCCGAGTAGCTGGGATTACAGGCACACGCCACTGCGCCCAGCTAATTTTTGTATTTTTAGTAGAGACAGGGTTGCACTATCTTTTAGCCAGGCTGGTCTTGAACTCCTGACCTTGTGATCTGCCTGCCTCCGCCTCCCAAAGTGCTGGGATTACATGCATGAGCCACCCCGCCTGACCTAATTTAGTATTTAGTACTGTATTTTAGTTGTTGGTTTTATTTCTGCTTTTGGCTTCATGTCTCGCATGAAACAAACGTCACTTTTGTCCCTCCTCTATACCAATATATGCAGATATATTCATTTGGTAAAAGTTATTTTTAAAGAAATATTACATTTATTTAGCCCATTCCTCTTTCCTTTGTTTAGAATTGTAACAAGCAAATCAAACAGCCATGTGTTCTTTTTCTTTAAAGTATTTCCATAAAAATAGGTTTATACTACAACTACTTTATTAATGAGTCAATGCACAAATGCATGCTTTAGTCAAACATTCTGCTCTTTACAGGTAATTGAAATTGATATAATGTTTGTTAACAAGTTATACATTAAATTTGATGGTGAATATAACTTCTTTCAAAAATCTGTAGATCAAACTTGAGAAAGAAAATTCTCTTTTTTAAAGGGACTATGCACTCCTGAAATCGTCTGTATTGTTTTTACCTGGTTTGCAGAACATTGAGCTGTCTTCAGATGAAGAACTGGTTGGGCCTTGCTATTCCTTCTCATCTTCACATCACCATGGGCAAGCTAAAGAAAGCTGGAGAGAAGAAATTCTGATTTGTAAATTCAGAATTGACACTCATTTAAAAACTTCTTGTAGGCATACTAATGCTGATCTCATCAACTTGTTAATAAAAAGGTCTTATTTACAGCTCTTAACTTTAAAACTAATTTAACGCAAAATTATATTTTTTCAGGGTAAATGTCTGTTTAAAAATAATATTTCCACCAAACACACACAAAGCAAAGTACAAGGAGAGCTGACACAACAGGAAGAGATTCTCCATTATTATTTCTGGAGAGCATCCTGGTCTGATGTTTTTCCTTTCGCCATTCTTAGAGAAAGTATGCTGGCCAAAACAGGTCAATCCAAGTCCCACTTATTTCCTCAGGAATACAGGTCAGGCAACACGCAGTATCCTTGGGAAAGTGGCCCCAAATGACCAAAAAGGCCATCACAGTAAGACATCAGGAAGCACAACTGTTTCCATTGACACCAACATAATAAAAACAAAATGCTCTAAAACTATGTGCTTTCTGAATCATAGTTTGTAAAAATATTGCACATGCTGTGTTTTGACCACCCAAGAGAAATTAAAGTCACTTTATCCCTCTAAAAGTATCTTGGTCCTACTGATGTTTATGATTCTAAAATCAGGAGCATGGTGGGGGAGGCCCTCTGTGTTCCTGGGAAAGGATCAGTCAGTATCTGCTAAGGCGATGTTAGAAAAAAGCTTTAAAATACCCCCTTTGTTGCAAACCTGCTATGGGAATTCATGGTATGCAACATCAAAGGAGTAAAATTCAGGTCACCTCTGTTGGATGTAGCCATGTGGGTGTGTGAATTAAAAACATGCAACAGGGAGCCTGACAGGTTGCTGTTTCAGTCTGGATTCTTCTTCAACTTATCTACAAGTGATCATATTGATAGTCAAAGGAGAGGGCTCAGACAGTTTTCAGAATGTCCTGGTTCTCAGAAAAGTGGATTATAATGGTCAAATGCCCCATTACCCTCAGGAAATAACCAATAATAATAAAAAAAAAAAAAAGCAGGCCTAAATCTTGGTAGCTAAAAGAAAAAAAGAATTTCTGAGAATATTTTTGTTCACCATAAAATAGATTAAAAATCAAGCTGTTCAGGAAGAGCTGGAGAATGTGCAGAAGTGCACCATATACTTCTGGTTCAGCTTCTCAAGCTATTAGGACGCAGCATAATAGGATGGTGTTTCATCACGGGCAAGGTGATCGGCCATCCAGCAGCTCATATCTGTGGATCCCCTAGGGTGGTCAGACCCTCAAAGGAATGGGACACTCATCTCCACAGTTTCAAAGCTTATCTCAAAGCTTACATCACACAATTAATAAAAGTGCAGAGATTTTAAAACATGACAGTTTGTAGTAGCCTGAAAAGAGTGATAAACTGATAGAGGTAAAGTAAAAAACAGACGAAAATAAAACAAGATTTTGTTATGTGAGCAAAGTTTTCATTTTAGTCATTCTGATGTTTTCTTCAAACCTACTTTCCCTAAGCGACTTCTGCAACTTGATTTCCTTCCTGCCCAAACTGCTGTGTCACCTGCTTTCCAACCTACAAAATCCTGACCCTCTTTGAAGTCTCCTTTCAAATTGTACCTCCTTGGTAACAATTGCTCTGACCACGCTAGTCCACGGCATTCTTTGTTTACTGAACTCCTCTGTGACCCCATCTTGGCAGCTATATTATGCGGTCTTGAAATGTTATGTGTGTCTGTCTATGTTTGTTTAAACTGATGCCTTATCTCCTGTGTTACACTGCAAATCCAACAAGACCAACAGCCAGGCCTTCTATTTTTGTTTTATTTCCCTACAGCCCTCACTTCAAACTTACACAATTAGTACCTACTGGTTGACAAAATAACCAGCATATTTTTTCCTTGAGCGTAAGTAATATTTAAAGCCGTCTGCTTGTCTTATAATGCATTTGGACCAGGTGTCCCCAAACTACGGCCCGTGGGCCGCATGCGGCCCCCTGAGGCCATTTATCTGGCCCCCCGCTGCACTTCAGGAAGGGGCACCTGTTTCATTGGTGGTCAGTGAGAGGAGCACAGTATGTGGCGGCCCTCCAACGGTCTGAGGGACAGTGAACTGGCCCCCTGTGTAAAAAGTTTGGGGACGCCTGATTTAGACAGAGAATTAAGCTGACTTTGTGAAGAAATATTATCCAATTTTCTAAACAACTTCTTTTTCAGTTGTTTAGGAGTTTGGCTTAGAATAAGATGATAGATAAACAATATTGTAATATTGGGGTTCAGGGGTTCAGGGTGCCCTCGGCTCCCCTGAAAGGACATTTCTTCAGGTTCTTGGTCTTCTGCCCTCTCAAGAATGAGAGAGGGGACCACGGCACAATCTGCAGTAAATACCGGACTCAAGAGTGTTTGTAGAAAGTGATTTATTTAGAGAGAGAGAGAGAAACGGAGAAGGAGAGAGAAAGAAAAGCCGCTCTCACACTGAGTGAGGAAAAGAAAAGCCGCTCTCACACCGAGAAGGGTTCCCAGAAGGGGAAGACCAGAGAAGGAAAGGTCCTCTCACACTGAGTGAGAGAATCCAGAAAGACGGAATCCAGGAGAGGAACGCAGCTTCCACACTAAGTGGAAGGGAATCGAGAGAGATGGAGTTTAGGAGGGGAAGACGGGCTTCCATGAGAGAGTGTGGAAGGGGACTCCAGAGGGGAAATGCAGGAGAGAGAAAAGCACCTTCCACAAGAGTGTTCGTGGAAGGGGATCCAAACATGGAGTCCAAAGGGGTGTGGAAGAAGGGGACTTTTAACCTCGGAGGAACCCCCACCTTCTCTAAGACCCCAGGCCAATGAAAGGAGCTCCTTAGAACTTCCGCTGGAGTGATTGACTCTTAGTTTCTTCCCATGCCTGTGAAATTTAAACATAAACTGTCAAATCTCCAGGATGGAAATCCATGGAAGATGGGCATGGCGCTGAGTTCTTGCTCTTAAAACTATGCCCCCTTGTGGACAAGAGAGAACACATTTCAACAATATTAAGGAGCAGTTTCTGAGTTGCTTACTAGTAATTTCAGGATATCTCAATATTTAGGGATTCTTTAAAAACTTTATTTGTAATTTGCTCCCTATATAGAGAAGTAGGCTGCATCTAGAAATTATCTTCAGATATGTTATTTCATTTAAAGTTTTTAAAATTGGATTGCTTTTTAAATAATATCAAATTCAAAGTAATAAACATTGGCTTTATTAAGCATGTCTAAATTTAGTTCAAAGTACTTTTTTTACATTTACCTTTTATTTACCTTTTTAAAAGCCAATATTCAAAATTGCTGCATGATATATGTACACAGTCTTGGGGCACATGTGCTAATTAAATACAGTCATACAATTTATAAATGTTGATATTTTTTCTCACTGAATATTTAAATAGTCATGAAAAGTGAGTATTGTCCTTTAAGAGAACACAAAGCTGTATAAACTAAGACATATTATAAATCACACACAAAATAAAATAAATAGAAATTAAACTTGGAAAACATAAAATACTCATTTATGTTCTTGACCAACTTGAAAATATAGCAAGATTGCCTGAAAGAGCTTTCAATTTTTTTTTTTTTTTTTTTGCTAACAAGGAAAAATATACCATTTCTACTTATGAATATCCAAATCATTTTAAATAAGTAAAAAATGGGAAAACATTGTGAAAGTAATGTTGCACCTGAATTACACAAGGACTTACATGCAGAATTAAGATATGTGACAGCTACCTAGAAGATAAAATTGCCCATAATAGAGTCCTTGCAGTCAGAAGATGGGAAAATGAAATAGACACACACATAGGGAAGGCTAAAAACAAACAAACAAATACCGGTTTTGGTGAAAAAAAAGGATTTCAATCTATCCTCTTTTGCTTTCTACCAAAGAAACTTGGGAAATGCTGCTTGGATTCATTAAGCCTGGTTTTTTTCACCTATACAATGAGCATGCTAGTTCTTCATTCTCTGGTTACTAAGCAAATTAAACGAGTTACATAATATAGAGCACCTAAAATAATCCATGGAGAACTCTGGACATTCAACAGCTGTACCCTCCCTTTCTGTTCTACAGATAGATGAGCAGTTCAACACAGCAGATGTATAATCTTATTTGAAAGAAAAAGACTCACACATCCACAAAACATGTTATAGAGATGGGAAAATTTTTACAGACCTTTCAGGAAAAAAATTAGAGCAGTAGGAAAGTTGGAGAAAGTAAAAGCACGAATCCCAGGAAGTGAAAGAACGCACATATACTTGAAAAGATGGAGTTTGATGGAAGGAAATGTTTCAGTGAATAAGTAATTATATACCAAAGAGATAAAAATATAGGTTGAAGCCTGGCCCATGAATTCCAGGTGGAAGAGTGGGGAACTACTGGCAAGCTAATAAAGTCCCAGAGTAGTACAAAGAGAATAAACTTTCACAGAAGTAAATGGTGCCATGCCATTCCCATGAAACTCAATTATCATAATAAAATACTCCTACTATGAAGCCTTTCCTATTGGAAATGTGTCAATTCTTGCAAATACAAATTTACCCTCCATTCAATTTGAAACTGAGCTTTACATAAGAGAACTTTCCTTAAAGTGCCTTGCTATATTTTGTTCCAATAAATTATATTGTGCTTTTTAAAAAGTGGCCAACACGGCAACAAAACCCCTCTTGCCTAATTATTTATAAGCATACGGAATTTGGAGCAGGCAGAAAATAGAACTGCATATTATAGGTTTGATACTGCATAAAACAACCAGGGTTTGGGAAGCAGAGCAGATCACTTAAAACACTGTAATGGATCTGTAACGGCTCTCTGTGGAATTCTTCAGACACAATAAAATCTCTTTGTAATGAGGATAAATCGCACATATTATACTTATTATTCGGTAAGAACATATTTTATTTACCTATAACATTTTTCTAGATGGGGAGTGATAGAGTCTAAAAAAGGCTTCCAGACATCCTATTTTGTATATTCTCTTTCTCTCTCACAATTTTACATTTTAGGTA